AGTTCTTAACTATAGAATAAACGTATTGCTGTTTTATATTAAGTGCGTCATTTCGTTTGCAATTCGTTGAATCCATTCTTTACATAGTTGTTCATTTACTTTAGGGAACACGTGGAAAATTATATTTTTTCCTTTTGTGTTTCTATCAGAATTTTTGCAAGTTGCAATCGCGCAAACTGGCATTTCATTAATAGTTTTAAATTTTTGTAAATTCACTGCAATAAACTGAGGAAAATCATTTTATAAAGCAACAAATGTCTTGGAATATGTCACAAAAAGGAATGCTCCAATCAAGGGCGCCGGCAAAATAATATAAAAGGGGGTGCAACCCTCTAACAAACTATCCTCCCCCCGAAAAAAAATTTAAATATTCTGCTACTACAGTTTGTTTTGTTATTACATATACTTTCATCTGTTCATTTTTTCAAGATACATTTCTTCATTGTTAGCAAGATATTTTAAAAAAAAGTACGAATTTCTTGTACTTACAAATTTTGCCCAGAGGCGATCGCGCTGGCGCTGGCATAGCTACTGACTTAGAAGCACAAAATAACTACAAACAGTGGTTTCGTATACTAGCGTGTTTGTGCACGCTTAACATTGGTATTTATTGTGTTGATGAAGTTTTACAGTTGCGAGAAGTCAGCTTGTGTTATACACCTTTGTTAAACTGAATAACTAATAGAAAATATAATATTATTTACATTTTATTAAATGAAATTTAAAAATATAGCTCAGATATCTGCCAAGTTTGTGAATGCTCAGTGTGCATAAGAAAAGAATCAAAGATGACTCAGAATTCATTGAAAAAGTTAAAAACAGATTTGGACAGCAATCAAGACGATTACAATTCTTGTTTGATTAAAAAAATTTTTAATTGTTATGTATCAATAATTACTTAATTATTTGTTTTTCCATAAAAATATGTTTAATAAAAAAAATTTATAACAGAATTTTTCTGTATCTCTTTAATTGTTTTTAAAAAAAAGGCCAGGGGGGTGCAAGTGCACCCCCTTGCACCCCGCTGCCGGCGCCCTTGGCTCCAATATTAGTTAGAGCTAGTTAGACCGTACACTCCGTTCTTGAAGTAAAAGTGCAAGCTTCGCGCCACAGTGACGTCACTGGAGAAAATCGGAGGTTTGACGCGGCGAGAGTCTCTTCAAAGTAGTGAACCAGCCCTTCTATTCTCTTTAACCCTGAGTTCATATCACGTCCGCAGGTCACCATTGAATGGATTTATTTATAGAGTGTGTCAACCTTCATCTATCAAGACGATAGAATCAAGTTAACATGTCTTATATACTAGTGAATTGGTATTTAATATTCATAGCGGTAGTTTACCACAGTTTCTAACACCAATCTAAAGAATCGAGTATAGATTATTTCCTTAATTTTTTTGTGAATGTTTCTGATGAACTTGTTACTCAAATTTAAAGTATAATTTCAATGTAATACTTTTTTTTATATATAACTAAATCACACTTACATTTTTAAAAAAATTTTATAAAGCAAATATTATGTATAACAACCAAAACTATAACTATTAGGAGTTAAAAAGAATACCAAATTGATTCCAATAATAATAATTCAAACTCTACAGGTATTGGAATTATTGTACTTGAGTAAGGTTACTTGCTTTAAGCAAATCAAAGAGAAAATATAGAGCATATATTAACTTCAAAATAAAATCAGGCAAAAATTCTGTATTTATAACAGAAAAAAAATAATGTTGAATTTAAACTTCTTCTAACTAAATTGTATAATTAAAACAAATATAGTTTATAATTTTAAAATAACGAAAATATATCTAATTACTTAAGGAACTAGTGAAATTAGACAGCAATTAAACAAAAACCAATAAAAATATTTTTTTATTGAATCAAACAATTATTGAAATATCACGCGATTCATTTCTAAATTTCATCCATACAATTTTTCAAATTCACATTCCATGTCCACGTTTTTAGTTCGTTGAAACAAAATTTAACAGCGTACTTATAGCTTTGTCTTTGTAGCGTTAATCCAACATAACGTAATACATATCATCTAAAATAAACGCGAGCATGATTACGGAAGCTGATGTAAAAGTGCGAAATCTCCTTATTAGCGACGAAGATTAGGTAAAAGAAACTTATTATATAGAATAAAGAAATGATAATTCAATAAAATGGTAACTTAGCAAAATTGAAATAAAAACAATATAAGGAAATTACATCAACAACTGAATGATATAATATGCAATTTTTCACAAAAAAATTAAGCAAATTTAATTAAACTAGTGGACTACGCCCCCTGCTCGCTAACGCTCTCCAACCCCCGAAAATTGCTACGCAATCTTATATGGTTTGCTTCGCTAACCAAGCTCGCTTCGCTCGCTACTAACTTAGGTACATTGCAAATGCACAAAATTCTAAGAATTCAAAACAATCATTCAAATCCATATAA